ACATTAATTGGATACTAACAATGTACCTAATTTACGTAATTAACGTTCTGAATATTACACAAATAACTTTAAAATTTCTACGTAATTAACATTTTTGAATGTGCATAATACAACTTTGATTCTTAGGCAATTAACATTCTGAATGTTTCATAATATTGCCTCGATTTGTACGTTATCATCATTCCGTATATTTCATAACATTACTCCAATTCTTAAATACAGTGTAACATTCCGAATATCATCTAAAGTTACTATGATGCTAACCTAATTCACATTTCGAATATTACATAACATCACTTTCTTTCGTAATTACATGAAACTTCCCGAACATCTCATAACAATACTTTGATTTTGACATACAATATGTTTATATTTTAAATACTCGCGTAAATGAGTTCACTTTGAAAACATATTACTTTTTAAGTTGCGAGAACAGGCTATGTCACATGGTATCGCCCGATATAAGAATAGTTATAAAATAGAACGTCATGTGCTGCGATCGATTGATAAAAAAAAGACATTGTATATTCCTTATGTAATTTATTCTGTGATCATTGCTGAATCGCCGGTCTCTTCCTCGGAGGGCATGGTGTCTAAGGAGACGTCTTGGGAATTGCTAGACCCTTTACCATTGCTCTTGTCAATGGAACCAATGTCGTCCTGTCCTTTGTTGTTATTTGGTTGAACTTCAACATCATTTGGTTCAGATTTTGAGTCCGTTTTAGCACTCTTGTCTACGGCATCATCACTTTGAGATTTTGTAACGACACATTCACTTTCTCCCTGTGATTTCGTATTATCACTTTCCAGGAACTTTTCCCATTTAGATAATCGTTCATTCCTCTCTGCCTCGGACTCCTCGAGTTCATACTTGGTTCGTCCGTCCCACTGCTGCGCAATGACTCGCCGCTTGGAGAACCATCGCTGGTGAAGGGCCGCTATACAGCCATCAGCCGAATCTGCTGCCTTAAAGTATACCATCATCACACCGTCAGGATGGTTCTGAAAACAAGGAAATCTACATACATTACATTGTTTATGACTTTAATCTTTTAAATGTTTTACCCATGTAGTATATCATAAGTTTACATTATGGCTCATATTTACCGTGAAATGCATATAAAAAATATCATTTACATCCACGAGATTGGATGCTATCACGTGAAGTATCATCGATATCTGATGTTTTCTGTTGTAGTATCATATCAATATAAGATATTATATATAAAAAAATATATGCACACTAGATCAAATGTTTACCTAAGTATTGGCATATGTTACGCAATCTAGATTTCCTTTGGGAGTATCATATTTATTACCAAACTCGTATTATGACAGGAAATACGCAAAAAGTGTTAATCAGAGATGGATGGATTCATTACATTTTTTTTTTCTTGAGTATATTCAGATTGACATTAAGCAACCGAAATATACAGGCTCCAACAATATTTGATTTCACATCGATAGATTTTCATTTTGTTGAGGAAGCATCGGCTGTTCTGATGTGTCGGTATGTAACATTGATATCATCCGCGTGCGACTGATAATAAAAGTAATATTACCTATAATGACAAAAACATTTGGAATATGATTGACCGTAGATATTTACAAATACATTAATGTTCACTTACGTCGAATATTTTAACATTTTTCACCTCTCCAAATTTGCCACATTCCACCCTGACATCGTCCCTCAGATCGTTAATTAAGGTGGGGTCCTCCTGTAGGGAAAAGAAAACAACGTAAATTAAGGTATGGTGTTCCTTGGTACCTACAGAAATTACAAAAACATAGATGCCTGCCAGATCAAACGTGCATATACCAAATGGAAAACGAAGATAACCATAACATTGTCATTGTAACACACATTGTTACAAAATAGAAATAATCTCAGATTCACATCCCGTAACAAAATACAGAGATAAGTCGCCAAATAACCACAATCATTTTTATCTCACTCTCCGAAATATCTGATAATTTTTTTTAAGATATAGCCCAACACTAGAACAGATTTATTACAAAGACATACATTTACATTACAGAATATCCAGGTACCCCAAAAACTCATGTTATATACTTGTGTAGAAATTGTACTAAGTTCATAATCTTACATTTTCTAAAAATATATCCAAGAATAAATGTCATTCGATGCTACACAATAAATAGTTTTAATTTACTGACAGATGTTATTTTTTTAAGTGTCCTATGGATAGTTTTAATAGATATTCGCCAAAGTTGAGTCACATGTGATTTGATTTAAAGTACAGTACTCTAACCCTAACCCTAACCAGTCAGAAATGAAATTTACTACCTACTGTACTGCGGTACAGTTTTGTAATTTAAATTGACGACTGAGTTTTAACACTGAATGATTCTATTTTAGGACATTGTTTATTTTGTTAGTATTCTTACTGTTGGTGAACGTTTCAATTTGGATTAAGATGATTCACTAGTCTTGCAATTGATTTCGGGATTAGAAGTATTATCATGCATGCACTAGTTTGTCTACTATCATTGAAGTGATTCTAAGGATTAAATTTCAAGAAGATTATCTTCACTTAGTATTCTAGTCCCATACATTTTCTACTTCCTGTCTCAGGTTATAACTTAAAGAAAGGCCAAGACATCGATATCCAAAAATGCGATTTCTTTAAGTCTATATCAAATACCACATAGGAGGAACTCCTTGGTTGTCCACCTTCCCAATACAGCCTCAGGACGACCTCACATTTACGTTATATTTATGTTTACCAGTAAATAGCTACCATTCCCAACGCAACAGATGTACATTCCGCGTATCCCGGGAATACGGCATATATAAATAATAGTAGTATCGTAGTATGTCTGTATGGGTTATGGTGATCTGACGGAGGGGAGGCAACATTACACTTGTTATAGAGTTACTCGAGATATTCCGTGACCTTTATTATATCTGGGTGTACATATCTCTATATGATTTATATTTGTAGTCGTATGTGCCATATATCAACAGGTCTACCTAGCATAGTATTCGAAAAATCTAGAAATGTAAATATACTTAAATTTAAAACTTTCTAATCGTCCATTTTTATTATATGACAGTAGCGTTAACCGAAACTAGTTTTAAATTTAAAGGGATTCAAAACGTCGTTCATACAAATATAAATATTGAAACAGTAAAAGGGAATGACGTGTTTGATAAACTTTATTGATTTAACAGTTGCAAATCAACTTCTCTTACACTTTTATTAATCACTTTCGTTGGCCAAAATTGTAGCGAGCAAGGGGTCTTAATGTGGGAAGAAACCGGAGTACCCGGAGAAACCCCATTTGGTCGGCCAAGTGACCCAATATCTGTTCACATCCGATCGGGGAGTCGAGCCCTGGCCGTCTTTGTGAAAGGCGAGAGCGCTATCCAATGCCGCAACCCGACTACCCAATGAAGAATTAGCCGAGGTACTAGCGCGGCATTTGAAATATAACAGCAGAAAACGGTACTACTCTGCTTGTGGTTTGTTGTTCATATTTATGTGAGGAAGGATGCATTAATCATTGTCAACCCGGGTTGTATTTATGTGTACATGGGGTATAGGTATGTGCTGCTGTCGGCATGATTAGTACACCACACACATACAAGAAAAACACAAAACTGGATTATGATGATGAAGGGGACAACGACAAGAAAGGCCGCAGACATTGATAAAGATAGCTTCACGTTTCTAAATAGTAACACAAAACAGAAACATATGTAATCACCTATGGGTAATGTCGCTCAAGGTTATCACAGTATGTTCAGAATATTGTGGTTTTCTTGGAAATTTGGTTTAAATAAACTTACTTTTTAATTTCCATCAGTTATTTATAAGCACAAAGTGTCGCTGTGTTAATACATGTAACCACATTTCACCACCTAGAAGAGACTGGCTGGAGATTATCAAAAATCATGTTTCTTTTCTTTTTCTAAATGATCTACTAATTCTACAATTCTGTCGGTGTTCGTGTATATTAACAAATGTAATACATAATTTTGCATTCCGACATATCACGTAAACCCTAATCAAATGCAACGAATTATCCATATTATACTTAATACGACTATATATAATTCGTGTGTAGTAATATTTCGCAATGGATTTTAGATAAGAAGCAGACATTACCGTCTATGTATCACAGTAACACATGAAATCGTACGACTGGAATACATATTAATGTACACAATAAAACCCAGTTTGTTTGATTCGGTTGGCGACACAACCCATCACTTAGCCTCCTGCTGCTAGCCGTTCTTCCATAAAACCAAACATCGCATACTTGTGTGGACTTGTATTCACTTACCCGTTCTATGAAGCCAATTACAATTCTATCACGGCAAATTCCTTCCCGTGAGTCTACATATCAATTTGCTAACAACCTCATGCGCATTCAGATGTGAAATGGATGCATTAATGTTTTAGGGGACACCAAAAATGCGAAAAGCTTGCGCAGCACTATGCCCCTGTTGGGATGGAAATGACAAAATTCCAGCATGCAAAATACCACGGCCATTTTGCGACATCTTTCTTACATAAATCAAATAATTGAATTACCTTCTCCCAGTATTGTGTAATTTGTTTTTTGAAATCGGACCCTTGGTAGCATTTGTCTTGGAGCAGACGACACGTGTAGCACCCCGACCTGACAGCCTCGTGCAGATGGCATGCATACCTGGGATTACAAGCGCGAGCAATAATGGTTTTTTGACGGAACCTGATCCTGCCAATTATTGTGGATATTACATCTAGCCTCTTTTCCATTCATACATAATGGCT